TATAAATTTTTATTATTACCTCTGAATGAATAATTTTCAAGAGTTTCAGATCAGGAGGCCTCACTGCTCAGCTGTCACATTTGTTATTTTTAAGGAGATTTTATCATACTCCTAGATTTCTATGAAGACGAGATTCAAACGGTCTCACATGACGCCATCACAAAACATTAGTCAGTTGTGCGTTCACTACGACAAAATCGAAATCGTAATACATACATATATTGATCGCTGAGTGGACAGCCACATCCATCTCGTCTTCAACAGCTGAGTTTTTTTTTCGGAATGATTACGAATAATCTTTATGGCCAGTTGCTAACACTCTGATCACTTTTCGCTCTGTTATTGTGTGTCTTACTTCCGCATGAGGTTGTTAGTTGAAATATTTATTCGGCCAATGTTTTGATCATCACATCGTTGCAAGAGCTAATGGCGCAAGGCTTTAGAATTGTTCACTATCCCACCAAACACCTAGCTCTTCTAGCGTTCCTGACGTCATCCAGAAACGCTCGGAAAATATTCAGAACAAGAAAGATAAGCCCACCTCAGATTCCACTGTTATAGTAATGCTACACTCACCTAGTATAGTACATAGTAGCGTATAGATGTTACTTAAGGCAAACTCCGGGATAAAACGAGGGACTCACCTGTTCGAGTGTGAAGAGCTGGATGCTAAGTTGATCGAAGGTAATGAAAAAAGCAGGAAATACCTCCAAAGAACTCCAAAATTAGAAATTCCTCTTCGTTAGTCGCTTACGAACCAGGGCTGGGAAAATTACGTGTTTGGACATGTCTACAGCAACTGTTGGCTTTGTGCCATCAACCGACACGGCCACAAAAAGTCAGCAATGAAAACTGATTTTTTCTAGTTTCCCTATTTTTTCTATTTCTGTGCTTTTTTTGTTTGCTTCCTATCTTAAAATTTTTTCTTCTCACTAGAATGATGACAACGTTCTCGAAAATGGTCGTAACATAGGCTTTGATGTTGATTTTCGCAGTTGAAATCCGCTAAATATTCCCCTACGACTTTCCAAACAACGGCTTAACATCTAGCGTTCCAGGTGGTTGTTTGGAAGATCACGTAGGACGGTGGGCGGGCTCAATGGGGTTGGGGCGGCGCCAATGCTCCAACCTAGGCTCCTAGCGCCTAAACCTTATCAAAACACGCCGCCACTTCTGCACATGGTCTGCCCTTGCGTACTGCT